TTTCAGCTCTTGCCCATGATGGAGAGTGAATTTTCCTCAAGGCTTCCCTGTGAACTCCCCAAACCTCTCTGCTTGCAACCGGACAGCCCTGGGACAGCACCAGCCTCCAAACACAGGTGGGGAGGCTCGAGACGTGGGAAGAACATCATTTCTACAATTTCCACAGGCCATTTTCCAGCAGCTCTTTCAGACTCGTGGAAGCCCTCGTGGCCCCCTTGTCATCCAGCTCCAGAAGCTGAGCTGATCATCAGAACACACACACAAAATACACACACGGGTGTATGTGCACACAAGCCCCCATCCTGGGGGAGGTGATTCTGGAGGTTCTGCTGGATCCAACTGATCAAATAGACACGTTTGAGCTTGCAGAACTGTGGGTTGAGGAGACAGGATATATAAAGACATGGAGACAGATACAGAGAAGGGAATTATCTTGTCTTTGTGCCCGTACTGGATGGGAACAAAAGCCCCGGGCCTAATCACAGCCTTGGGAATTTGGGGCAGAATTCGGGCTGGGTATAAATTCTCTGGAAGGGCTGTGGCATCTTCATCGTAGAGAGTTTTCAGAGCATGTTAACACCATGTCTGCCTGGTGACACATGACATGGATGGACTTGATCCTCCCTTGAGATAAAGGGCATGGCCCTGCTGACCCCTTAATACCCCTTCCCAGCCCTGGCTCTCTGTGATTGCAGCGCTGGGAAGGGTAACATCAGCTCCATTCTCACCTCCACTGCTCTAAGAGGATTTGCCCCAGGATGTGCCTTGGCTAATAGGCTTCAGCAGATCTTTGGTGAGGCCAGTTTTAGCGTGACCTGCTAGGAAGTGATCAATACCCCTTCCTTCCTACTGGCACCAGTGGCCAGAGGTTTGGCTTGTTCCTGGCTTTCCTTGTTCCTGATGCCTCTAGTGCTCTGTGCTGGCCAACACAAAAGAAAGTGAGGTGGTGGAAGGAAGGTCTCCTTTACCCAAATAAAGCTGTTAGTGAGAATTAACCTTTCCTGCTGCTCCAGCCATGCCCAGGCCTGAAGTCTGGTGAGGGAGACCCATCACCAGTGTGGTGTGGGGGCTGCAGGGGTTCCTGAGCCACTGGGTTAATGTGGAGAGGACTTGTACTGTGCCATTTGCACTTTCTGAGGCAGGGAACACGTTTTATACTAAATGCCTGTCAAATCTGGTCATCACCTCTTTGTTTCTAGTTTTTAAGTAAGAATTTGGCAATTCTGCTTTCTTGCTTTAAAGTTATTTTAATTTCAACCTGCTTGGCCTATTTCTTCCTAGACTGATGTCCTTCCTTCTCCTGTTTACCTCTGTATTCGTAGAAAAGAGGATTGATTTAGGCTGGATACAGGAAGAAGTGTTTTACAGTGAGGGTGGTGAGCTATTCTATGGTTCAGGAGGATTTGGGTCTCAACTTTGCTACAGCCTTCCTCCAGCAGATCACTCAGGGCTGGGTGACCTGGGAATTTGGGCTTATTCCTTATCTCTGGCCCTGTGACGTTCCTGGTCCGGGGTCAACAGCGGCCCAGCACCAACGGAGGGGTTAGAGGAGCTCCTGCTCCACCTCTTGGGGATTAGGGATCCTATTTACTTGTAAAGGGCTTGGCAGTCCCGGGAAGCAAGGCACACCCTGGGGTTTGTAGGGAATGTCATGGGACTGACCCAAAACAGGATGGAGGATCCTGTCACCCTCCTCCGAGGGACAAGCTGTGGCTGCAGGGAGGGAGCACGGAGTGGAGTCCAACCTCTCCAAATTTTAGGGTTGCTGATGAGGAAAACGAGGTGCTCAGGCTTTCTGGGAGATCCCCACAGCTTAGAGGATGTCCTCTTCAGGAGGTGGGAGATAAGCACTTTGTAAACAGTTCTGAAAATCCCGACCTCAGGACATCCCCTGCACCTCAGGACATCCCCTGCACCTCAGGACGTCCCCTGCACCTCAGGACATCCCCTGCACCTCAGGACATCCCCTTGGGGGAAGAATCCAGAGCCCTGTTCACCTGCCTTTGGCAGTGCAGAGCTGCTCTCCCAGTCCAAAGTCCCTGGTGATGTGGAGGTAAATTCCTCTGAATTCCTCAGCATCCACACACCCCCTTGTCCAGAAGCTTTCATCTGAGATGAGCAACCAAGTCCTGTCCTTGCTGGCAGTGCTGAAGATAAAAGCACTGTTTGCTGGCACCTGTTCCCCTTCAATTTTAGGGCACCAGAAAAACCCCTCACCCAGAATTAGCCAAGCGTTTTTGTTCTTTGCATTATTTTTCTCCTGTGCAGGCACAGTTTCCTGTGAATGTGTGATATTCTGTGCATTTGTGGTTTCCTGAAAGCATTCATAAAACCCCAGGGATTTCAAATCCTTCCCCTTGTGGTTTCTGTATGGAATTCTCAGGGCATCTTCCTCCCAGAAAGGCTGTGCCAAGAGCTGAGCTCAGGTGATGGGAAGAAGCAGAGAAGCAGCTCACTGGGTACAAATCAGACAGAACTACCCCCCAAAAAGCATCAATATTCATGGGGAGACCTGTCTTTTTGAATGTTTTTAATTTTTTATTATTTTTTAATGCAAAGTGATGGGTTTCAGATGCACTTGCATTTTTCTTTCCTTTCTGGTAAAGGAAAAAGCTCTGTGGCGTGAGGGAGGGATGGTTAACATACCACATTTGGGGACTTTATTGAGCTAAAGGCAGCAATTCTTCCCCTGAGCAGAAAACCACACATTTTTCCAGTTGTTTGCTGCAACAGCAAGCGCAGCAAGCAACCTCCTTCTAACCCCATTCCCAGGGCAGCAAAGCAACTTTGAGGGGCTAGAGCCACAGAAGGGCAAAAAAAAAGGCATTTTTGCTTGGCTTTCCTCCTTTGGAGAATTAGTCCATTTTTTGTATTCATCAGTCATCAAGGTTTTTTTTTCTGAGCCCCATGATCTGGACCTGCTAAGTAAGGCAAATCCAGCTTAGAGCCTCTCACAGCAGAAATACAGGAGAGATCAGGAGGCAAGAGGTGGGAGGAAGAGGCAGACAGCAGGGGAATACCAAGTCACCACGCTTTTATTTTCTACCTCGTTTGCCAATTTGGAGTTTCCACAGAAGTCCCAAAAAAAAGGGTGAAATTTGAAATTCCTGCAAGGGGGGGCAGTCGAATTCCTCTCTTCTCCTCGGGGTTGTTTCTCAAATCAAACCCAGGCACGGCAGAGGGGAGTGGATGTGCTGGAGGGAAACACCCAGTGTTGTTTGGGCTGTAAATGGTCCTTATTTTCAGGTGGCAGCTTGGGGGTCCCTCAGCTGCACCATTTGTGCCTCCAGCTGAGCCAGTCCCAAGCTCCAGTGCTGTTTGGTTTGACTGGCTGGTTTGGGCACTGCTCCTTCCTTAGGGCTTCTCCTGCCTCGTGCAGCCCCAGAGGAGTTTTAATCCTCCAGACAGCTCTGAGGAGGCTGAAATAGCACCAAAGCCTCGGGATTTACAGAGTTTCACTCCGAGCCAGCTCTGGACTCTTGGGATGAGACCCCTCTTGGTGCTGAGCCCCCGAACAGTTCCAGCTGCAAGGACACCAATGAGTTCTTGTTTTAATGTTATATTTATGTATTTAACACAAGGCCAGGCGCTGGGCCCTCTCTCCTGGGTTATGTAGGTCCCTGAGGGATCAAGGGCATGTTCCAGTCTGTGGCTAAAACTGACCTTGAGGGAAGCCAGTTCTGTGTAGCCAACCCCTTCCTCCAACCCCTCTCCTTTGCTGTTGGGTCTCCCTGACCCCCCCCCACCCCTCAGGCAGCTCCTGCATCCTCCTCCCCACTCCTCCCTGGGAGATTTCCCTCACCAGTCATTTTCTGCCTTTCCTCTCCTTCAGGATGTCAGCACCACTCAGGATGACCCAGCTGGGGGTGGGTGACCAGTAGCAAGGAAGGTAGAAGAAAGGATGGGAAAAAAAACCCTGGTAAAGTTTGGGTGGGGATGAACACCAAAAAAAAAGAGTGGGAGAGAAATATTTTAATTTTTCTGGTGCATAAATCTTCCTCTTGTTCAGGCACCTCTGTGCTTAATTAAGGACAATATAAAAAAAAATCTATTTATAGAAAGCAAGGAAGAAATCATAGCAGGTGACCTGCTTTATTTGACTGGATTAAGGGTGGGATTACAGGAGTGTTTGGAAATGTTGATAAGGGCTCCACCAAATTCTTCCCTGTTATTGCTTGTTTCCTGGGAATAGTTGGATTTGCAGCAGGTCATTCGGATTAAGAATCCAATGGAATAACTTGCTTAGGGAGGGAGGAAAGGGGAAAGGAAACAAAACCCAGTGGTGGTCCCAGTATTGTCAGTTGAGGCAGAGTTTTCATTTTTTGAATGAGGAAAACTTGTCCAAAAACGCAATTGTTGCAGTTTCAGGGACAAAAAGGAAGTACATGTGATCTGTGGGATTTTTGGTGGCTCCTTGAAGGTTGGGAATGGGATGTGGGGGGAAGAGAAAGGGAAATGAAGGGAGAGAGAGAGAGAGAAGAAAAAGTGAAGGTCTCAGGGCTCTGTGGGGTGGTGCAGAGCTGATCTGAGCAGGTGCCTTCCTGCCACCCGAAACTTCCACGCTGCAAAATCCCATTAAGTGCAGAGTTTAACCAAGTTCGGGGCGTCGAAAAGCAGCAGCTCTTTAAAGCCTTGGTCGCCTGCCAAATGTGGCTCTCCCAGGCCCCACCCCAGGGGATATTTCCTGCCCCAAATCACTTCTCCCTGCCCTCTCGTGCTCCTCTCCCCTTGGGAAATGGTCTCACCTGTATCACAAAAAGCGCCTGCAGGAGCAGGGGAGCCCATGCAGGGGGGTCTGGGGTGACATTAATCAGGGTAGGAGCAGCACTCCTGGAGCCCAGGGATGCTGAACCCTCTGGATGAGCCCTCTCTTAGCCTCTCCCTGGTGTTGCTACTGAGGGTGCCTGGCACCAGGCTATGGAATATGAGCTTTCTGACAAACTGTGCTGCAGGTGGTGAGAAAAGAGCTCAGGGCTATCACAGGCACCAAGCAAACAGTGTTTGTTTGTTGATCAAGGTGAATTATATTTTAAAAAAAACCCCATACATTCAGCAGGAATTATGGCTCATCATCCCGTTTCAGAATGAAAATAACGCAAAGGAAACTTTAAGGAATTCAGATCTACCTGGAAATATCTGGAAAAACTGCCGTCCAAGGCAGGCTGGGAGTGTGCTGGGGAGTTTCAGTAGTGCTGTCCACAGATGGGATTTTTTTCCTTCTCCTTCTTTATACCATCCACGTGTCCCCTATGTGATGAAAACCCGAAAATTCTGGCTCTACACCCATCAAATCCTGGGAAAATCAAGTTCCTTCTCCCTACACTGTACAGATTGTGTGTTAACTGTGACTGTGTTGAGGTTGTGAGATAGTTCCAGGGAAAGGGAAAGCCTGGAGCTTGATCTCCGTGGTTTCACCTTGCTTGGAGGCACTCTAGATAAACTCCAGGTGGCTGTCAGCTGGGACGTTATACTGAGCTTTGTGCTCCTCAAAGAGTTTGGACAACTCATTCAGGTATTTCTCATGGACTCGATCCACTTCTTCCTCGGAGGGTTTCTGCTTCTTCTGCACTGGGATTGGCTTCCCAACTGGAAAAGGAGCACAGGCATTAAAGAGGAGCCAGTGGCAGGCTGTTTAAGCACACTTGCAGTGGAGTTGCTTCCACTTTGCCCAGATTAAAGTTTTTATGTATCATTTGGTTTTTGTTAGGGATCGAGTGCCCCCTTATCTTAGGAAGATCACGTTTAATTCAAGGTAAATCTAAATGTTTCTGGGAGACAAGAATAAGCACCTTCCCGTCTCCCAGAGCCAGCAGGAGCAGGACCAGGTGCCTGCACGGGGCAGGGGTGGTCCGTGAGGCTCCTCTCATGCTCTGGGCTCTTGCTCAGACTGTGTTTGTCAGGTGAGGGAGGGTTTCACCACCGTGTAACAGGATCCCTCACCCAGCTAATGGAGAGCCCTGGTGATACCGCCCAGCCCATAAAACCATTGAGAAGATGCAAACAGGTCGTAATGCCATTAGGAGTAATTGCTGGCTGTCAAACTGAATCAGTGGGGTGAGCTCCAGCCTTTCCAAACAGTGGCTCTGGCTGGATTAATCCCCCGCGCTAATTCCCCGGGTTCGCGGGCCGCGCGCCGTGGGGTTGTTGAAACCGGGCAAAAGTTCTTCAAAACCAAAGGTCTTCTGAGCCGTGGTCTCCCAGGGGCCTGGGTGTGTGCCAGGGCTCCGGGGAGGGACTCACCCACGGTGCAGATGGGGCGCCGGTAGGGCACGAAGCCGAAGCTGTACTGGAAGATGCCTCGCGCGTGGAAGAGGGGCAGGGAGATGCCCATGACCCGCTGGAGCCGGTGCTGGATCCACCTCAGCCAGGAGCCCTTGGGGTTCCACACCTGGTCGAAGAGGTCGTTCTCCCCGAAGGAGAAGGCGGGGACCAGCGGGGTGCTGTGGCAGAGGAACCCGGGTTGGGACTGTCAGGATCGGCCCAGCCCGACCCAAACCCCTCCATTGCCGTCCCACACCCCCCGTTACCCCGCCCAGAGCCTCCCCCGTGCCCTGCTCACCCGTGCTGGATGGCCAAGCGCACGAAGCCCTTCCTGTTCCTCAGCAGCAGCGTGCAGGACCCCGGCCGGGCATCCAGGGCCTCCTGAGCCCCCCCGACGATGATGGCCAGCAGGTTCCCCCCCCCCGGCCTCTGCAGCACGTGGGAGGCACTCTCCTTGTCAGAGGGCACGAGGCCTGGGGGACACAGAGGGGTGAATGGTGAGATCTGTCAAACCCACCACCCCACTGCTGTGCTCTGGGTGTTTTTTTTCCCCCGTTATCCATCTCTGGAGGGGTGCCAGACACTTCATTTCCAGACTTTTCCTGCTCTTTGGCCCCCTGAAAGGTGCTGGGCTGGTGCACAGCCCTGCTGGGTGAACACACAATTATCCCTTTGCTGTCTGCCTCAGAAGGGAGTAATGAGGGGGAAAAAAATTAGGAATAAAATAAACTGAGAACTAACTGCGCTTAAGCCCCGGGGAAAATGTTTTGGTTTGTTGGCAAGTGAAACCATGTCCAATCTCGAACCATTCTAAAGTCAGGGAAACATTTGCTTTAGGTCAAAACGTGAATTTCAGTGGATGCTGCTGATTTTAAGTGGAATGTAATGAGGGATTTGGTCCCTTGATGTTGTTTACTTGCAAAAGTTAGAAATCTTTAATTCAGAAATGACAAAGCGACATTGTTTTGATTATCTTAAAAAAAAATATAAAATCCTTGTTTCAGGGACTGAAATAATTTGCAAATTAAAACTTCCTCGTGAAACGGATTCAATGGACCTGAAAATGAGCTAGGCACCAAACTCCTGCATCACAGGGATTAAACCTTCCCTTGCCTGGGTTACACAACTCTCTCCCATCTCACTGTTTTGATTCCTCACCATCCAGGTAAATATTTTTTCAGCAGCAGGAGCCAGAGTTTCTGTGCAAAACAGGGTGATGGATGCCCTGGGGTCCGTCAGGTGGAACTGGATGCCTGTGTTCAGTCTGTTGAATTCTGCCCACATTCAGCTGGAGAAGTGGCCGTGCCCAAGCCCGCTGGTGAGAGATGGAGGCCATCCTACCAGCCTCTAAACATCTCTCAAAATCCCCTTTCCCCTCTCTCCATTTAACTTTTACCTATTCCATTTCCTATTCCCTTTTGCTGCTACTCCTTCCTCCCCTGCCCCCTCATTCTGCAGCAGCACGAGCTGCTGTTTTCATCCTCTCACCCTGGATGCTGCTTCCCTGCAAGCAGCAGATACTCCTGCTCACAGTTTGCTCTGGGTTTTGCTGTGGCACAGCACCTGGCTGTGATGCCCTGAGCTCAGAGACCGTCTGTGAAGAAGTGGAACTGCAGAGGTAACTAGGAGGGCAATTTGTAGCTTCAGGGTGTTTTCGGGGTGCCAGCTGCAGTGGCTGCATCCCTGCACAGGGTCCAACCGGCCACAGATGGGGGAAAACAGCCCCTTGGCTTCTTTTGCCCTCTGTCTCCCACCCCCCAAGCCGTGCTCCTCACCTCCACTCATCAGGTAGTCCCTGAGGAAGGGCACCCGGAACCACAGGGAGAGCATCATCAGGTGGGGGGTGATGCCCGGGAAGAGCGTGGAAAAGCCCGAGGCCTCCGTGCAGAAATTGAGGAAGGCTCCAGTGGCCAGGACCCCGTGGGGGTGGAAGCCCAGCAGGTAGTTCTGCCTGGGGTCCAGCTCCGTTGTCTTCACCAGCTGGACAGGGGGATGAAGCCAAGAAGGGGCTGTGAGTTGGGGCTGTCACCTCTGGGGGGGGAGCATTTTCTCTGCAGAGCAGGTGAGGCATTCCTGGAGGGGCTTCCTTAGCACCCACCACACCTGCTGTTGGAGAGGGTCCACTGGCCCAACCCCATCCTTTTTCACCCAGCTGTGTTTCATTGCCAGCGTTCCCATCTCCCCCCACCCATGGGCCCAAGGTGACTTTTCCAAAGGCCCAGTCCCTCGTGCTGCCTTGGGCCGCTCCAGGTGCTGTTGGGAGCTGGCTTGGTGTAAAATGTCCTCCAATACAATTCCTAATACAGGGGAAAAAAGCTAAAAAGCAGTGGAATCACCATCCCTGAACGTGTTCAAGAAACACGTGGATGTGGCACTTGGGGACACGGTCCGGCGGTGACCTTGGCAGTGCTGGGGGAACGTTGGACTCAATGGTCTGAGGGGGCTTTTCCAACCTAAACAATGCTGTTATTCTGTGGCCACAGAGCCACCACGAACTTCCAGGCAGCTCCAAGGCTCTTGTGCTCAAGCAGAACCAACCCCTGTGCGTTTTTGGGTGCCAGCCCTCCCAGAACCCCCGTCCCCCTCGGGGTGCAGCTGACGGTGCGTGTGCTCTGCCGGAGCAGCCAGAGCTGCAGGTTAATGGTGGGGCTGTATTTCCCTTCCTTCCCTCATGGCTCATTTCCCCCCTGTCCCAAAGCTCTGTTGACTGTTCACATGAGCCCATTCAGGCGCCTGCTCCTAATGAGGGGGTGGACAAACACGAGTCCCCCCCTGCCCGGGTGCAGACCTGTCCAGCAGGAGCAGGGCAGATGGCCCAGTCACTAAGTACCCGGGGCCCCTGCCACCCCGTGCTCTTTTTTTGAGCAATCTCAGCTTGCATCAATGTTCCCTGCATTCATCTTCAGCTCCCAAACAGCCCTTCATTTCCAGGTGATTTATGAGCAGGGAGGGAAGGCGCAGGCGCTCGGTTTGTTGGAAACTGCAACGTTTGTGGCTCTGTGTTGCCCTGGGGAAAGCAGGTCCCCCTTTGGTCACAGTGCCTGCTCACACCTGGATGAGCTGGGCAGAGCTCTCAGAGAAACCAGGGAGCCTGGACAGGACTGAGAAGGAAATCTGCAGCAGAGGAGAGACTCGGGCAAAGTCTCTCAGGCTGCAGTCAGGCCCCTGGACTCTCACCCTCCCTTCTCCTTCTGGAAATTCTTTAACACAGAAACTCCACCCTCCCTTCGGGATTGTTCCCACTGTCTATTCCCTCCTCCCCTCTCCACCTGCCAGAGGTCAATCTCCATTCCCAAACTGCCAGGGAAGTTAATCCCTGACCCTGTCCAGCACCAGGTGCCTTACAGAGCTGGGTTGGGGTGCCAAGGGGTGGGACTATCCTCCCTCCTGCCTTGTATGGGTTGTCATTCCCACACCCTCTGGAAGGTGCTTGCTGCTCTGGGCTTTGTGGGTGAGTGGAACATTCCATAATTGTGCAAGGACTTCAGTGTCCAGCCAGGCCAGTGTCACACCTGTGAGCACCTCACTGAGCCAATGCCCGAGCCCAGGTCAGCCAGGAGCAGTTCCTCATCTCCCAGGTTCCAGGGGTGCCCAGTTCCTGTGTCTGGTGTGTGTTCTGAAGGCAGGGAGCTGCAGCAGCTTGGGGCTGTGCCCTCCAAACCCAGCCATGGGGGTTTGACTTCCTCAAGCTGCCCCCTGGCAGGGTCAGGGTGCTGCCTGGTGTCCTGGCTGCTGCCAGCAGAGATGATCCCTTCTCAGAGGTGCTATGAGGCCTTTTGCATCCCAGATGGGGGGTGATCTTGGCCTTCCTAACAAATCCTAATCATTTAAGTTGGAAAGCCCTCTAAGATCATTGAGTTCAACTGTTCCCCCAGCCCTGCCAAGGCCACCACTAATCCATGTCCCCAAGTGCCACATCCAAAGAACTGTTTAATTCTGCCAGGGATGGGGACTCCACCCCTGCCCTGGAAAGCCTGTGCCAGGGCTGGACAGCCCTTTCAGTGAAGAACTTGCTGAATTTAAATTTGGGCTTTGAAGGATGAGATCTATTTTGTGCTTCATCGTGGAAAAAATATCTTGATAGCTACAGTTTTTCAGGGCTTGCAGTGATTACTCCGAAACAGAAAACTCCCCTTATTCTCTCTGCTCAAATATGAGTCCAAGACACGGGTGAAACCCTGTCCCAGTTCCTCCAGCTCCTGAGTGAGACCTTCTCCATGCACTGCCAGCCGAGTCAGGGAGCTGCACATGCAAACTTCCAGGAGCCCCAAAAAGAGCCCATGTCCTGGTGAGGATCTCAAGCAAATTAATCCAAATTAATTTTAAACTGGATTAGTTAAATGGCATTAACATCCCAAGTAGATGCTCTTAGATGGAATTAAAGTGCCCCTCATTTAGTATTTGTTTTCTTTGGGTTCTAATTCATTTTGGAGGGGAATTAAGCTAATTGGAGTTAGGGTTTCTGAGTGACTTTACCAGCCCAGGAGTTCAGCACTGCTTTACCCAGCCTGATTTAATTCACCCCTTGAGATGTGGCTGGGATTTCCTATGGACTGGACTGCTGTGTCCCAGGCCATGGGCAGGCAGAGAACAGGCAATTCCCTGTGTGAGGCTGGGCACTGATGCTTGAGGAGAGGGTGGTGAGGCCCTGGCACAGGTTGCCCAGAGAAGCTGTGGCTGCCCCTGGATCCCTGGAAGTGTCCAAGGCCAGGTTGGATGGGGCTTGGAGCGACCTGGGCTAGTGGAAGGTATCCCTGCCCATGGCAGGGGGTGGGACTGGGTGAGATCCATGAGGATCCCTTCCAACCCAACCCATCTGTGATTGTCTCACTCATCAGCCCACAGCAGGCATCACTGATTATCTGTTCAAACCTACTCTGGCCCAAAGAGATTAATTTTAAACCCTTTGGTATATTTTACACGACATTATAGTGCAGCTGAGCTCAGACAGGTACTGGAATCAGAGAATCACAGAACCATTAAGGTTGCAAAAGCCCTCTGAGACCATCCAGTCCAACCATTCCCTCAGCACTGCCAAGCCCACCAACAACCCATGGCCCCAAGTGCCACATCCACACAAGCTTTTAAACAACTCCAGGTCAATTCCAGGCCTATCATGAGGGTGTATTAAAAAAAAAAAGGACTAGAGCAGGGTTAAAATGCAGGGAAATGAAGCAGAAGTAACTCTCCTGGGCAATGCATTTGGATTCTCCCTGCTTTCTTCTCATCCACTTCTTAAAAACACCCAAACTCATTCAGGTCCTGCCTGACCCTTTGACTCCCAAACCATAAACTAAAATACAGCCAGTTCCAAGGGGAGCAAACCCAGCAGCAAAGTGGTTCCTCTGTGCAAGGGTGGGCTGGGCAGAGGGTGCTCCTGGCACACAGCACGGGGGCACAGCTCAGCTCCACACTGCCAGCCACCCTGCCCAGACAGCAGTGCTCCCACAGCAAACACACCCAGGGGTCCCTCCAAGGCACCCATTAAAGCTGCATCCCAAACCCTGGTGTTCCTGTTTGCTGCCGGGATTGGGGATGATCCGGAGCCACGTTTAATCTTCCCAGGACATCTAATTCTCCAGGGCTGAGCAAACTCCATCCACACACAGTCACAGCCCCGGGTGCTGGGGGCCAGCCTGGTTGGTGTCCCTGCATCCCACTTCTTGTGCCCCTGCTCTCACTGGAGCTTTGGGCAAGTGGGGGGCTCCCCTGGAGAAGAGAAGGATCCAGGGAGAGCTGAGAGCCCCTTGCAGGGCCTAAAGGGGCTCCAGGAGAGCTGGAGAGGGACTGAGGACAACACAGGGAATGGCTTCCCACTGCCAGGGGGCAGGGTTAGGTGGGATATTGGGAAGGAATTCCTGACTTGTGAGGGAGGGGAGGTCCTGGCACAGGTTGACCAGAGAAGCTGTGGCTGCCCCTGGGTCCCTAGAAGTGTCCCAGGCCAGGATGGATGGGGTTTGGAGCAACCTGGGCTGGTGGAAGATGTCCCTGCCCATGGCAGAGGGTTATAAACAGGTGCTCTCTAAGGCCCCTTCCAACCCAAACCATTTTATGATTCCACGACTGAGAAAATTTTTTTGGGAAATACCATTACGTGGCTGCTTGGTTATAAAGCTCTTTTTATTACGTTTTCGTCTTGTTTTCTGCTGTCCCTTTGCGGAACCCCCTCTTTTTTTCTCCCAGACCGGAGCGGGGAAAAGGCTCCACCGAGCCCCCCCTGCGAGCCGCAGCCAAACCCAGTCCCGCGCTCCCTCTACTGGTCCTGCTGGTCCTCCAGCCAAGGGCTGCGGCGTTCAGGAGAGGCTCTGCCTGGCCTCACAAAGGGACGGGAGAGGGGCCACCGCCGGGCTCAGCCGGCAGCTAAATTTTAGCAGAGAGGTTGGTGCACAAGTGGTGGGTTACGGCCACAAATAATTTACGCGATAGGTATTGCGTGTAATCACTGGAGTCGGGTATCTCATGGAGTCACTGCGTGGTTCGGGTGGGAAGGGACCTGGGAGAGCCCTTCTGCTGCACTGCTCGGGTTTGAGCCGACCTGTGGCGGCTCTGAGGCAGGACCGGGTGCTGCTCCCTGCATCCAGGGGGTGCCAGATAAAGGGTAAGGGCAAAGGGCAGCCACGGGCTTGGGAGTAAGTCAGACAACGTCACAGAAGTCCTCTGGAAAGAGCAGCAGCTCTGCGAGGCTGCCCAGTGCGCACCCAGCTCCCCCCACCCGTCCCCTCCCTCGGCACCAGCACCTCTTGGATTTTGGTCAAAACCCGGCCCCGTGTCCACAGGGTGAGCGCTGAGCAACCCGAAGGGCAGGAGTGTTGAGATACAGACATGGAAATATTGAAATAGAGACGTGGAAATATTGAAATATAGACGTGGAAGACAGGTGGAAGGCAGCGAGGTCGAGCCGGTGCGGGAGAGGCAGGTGGTTGAGGGATGGGGTTGAGAAAATGGTGCTCCGCGGTTTTTAATGGATCTTCCAGTGACCTGGCCCCAGACCCCAAGGACGACGCTGCTCCCCGGAGCGCCGAAGGGCCCCTGGGACGGGCGGGCGGCACTTACCGAGATGGGGAAATAGTCCCTCATGTACCTCCAGACGGCGCCGTTCCGCAGGAATTGGACGCGCCGCCCGCCCCTGCTGGGCTGGTCCCGGTCCAGGAGCCACCACACGGCATAGAGGGCACTGAGCAGCCAGAAGCGGGTGAAGAGGAGGGCGATGAAGGCAGCGATGCAGCACGGGGCTGGAAGAGAAGCCAGAGGGGTCAGGAGGGCTTTGGCAGAGGGATGGTTCACTGGGAGATGCTCTTCTGTCCCGAGATGGAGCCCAAGCCCCCTCTGGGCTTCCTGCTGAGTTATTTGATCAGAGTGAGGGCACCTCTGAGCCAGAGGTGGTTTCTTTTCTACCTGCCCCAGAAATGTGAAGAGGAACCATGATAACTGCCTTATTTTATCCCAAAACTCCTGTTAATGTCCTGTGCTGACACCTGACATTTTGCAATGGCAGCAAACAGGGTACTGCCTCCTGTCTGATTCCCCATTTTAATTGTGCCCTTGATTTAATCCCACATTTAAGATTTTACTCTTTACTGAGTTTTTTCTTATTGATTTTGGACGCTTTCCCTCACTTCTCAGGTTCTCTCTCAGCTCTAATCTGGCCTCCAGAGGATTTTCAGTGCTTTCAACTCGGTGCCATCACCAATTCTATAAGAATGCTCTATTTCATTCTCTAAGACATTAATGACTTGGGACTTTCCCAAGTCATTAGAGACTTTTCTGAGCTGCTTCCAGTCAGTGCTCAGCTTCCACCTCTACCTCCCACCCCCCTCATACCTTGGGTTTTGGCAGGGAACAAGAGGAGAAAAGTCTATGTGCAAACAAGCATCACTTGGTGCATGAAATCCTGCCCAAGGCCAAGACTGTCTGTCTGCAGAGACTGGGAAGTGGTGATGGCCACCAAGATGCCACCTGCTAAAGCAGATGCCCTAAAATGTGCCTGGGAAGAGCTGTGTCCTCTCCATCTGTCCTTCTGGAAGCCTTGGTGTTGCTTGGGAAGGGGAAAACTGAGCTAAAAAACAAAACAAAGCACCCGAGTGGTTTGCCTTCCCCTGCCTGTGGGTTACACCACGTGTTATGTGCTTTGTTCTTTTTGGGGTCTCCATCACAGATCCGGCACCAGGACTGAAGGACCTGAGGATGGAGATGCCCTACTCAGCTTCAGCTTCAGCTGTGAGGCAGATGCACCCACACCCTCATCATCTGAGACCTGGATTTCCATCTTTGGGAGTCACCTGGCACCTGTTCTCTCCAGCTCATCTCACCCTGTCAGAGGAGAGGAATAGGATGCTCTCATTTAAGACCTCCCTGTACCTCCTGTTTGCTTTTAGTTAAGGATAAATAAGTATATTTAGCTTGTAGTCCTTTTTTTGGTGATTATTCCCCCAGAGCTTTGTGTGGGGAAGCAGAGGGGCTCCAGCCCTTGGAGCATCTCCTCCATGGCCCCCTCTGGTCCTGCTCCAAGTTGGGTCTGATGAGAGCAGAGCAGAGGGGGGGAATGCCCTCCCTCAACCTGCTGCTCAGGCTTCTTTTTCAAATGCCACACAAACACAGACTTTGCAACCCTGGAGGAGAATTGCACAGAGCATGAACTGCAGCTCCAGGTCCACCTGACAGGTGAACACGACACACAGGCTGCAGTTTCCTGCACCCAGGAGCCGGGTTGTCAGGGCTGCTGCAAAACCCTGCAATGCCTAATTCTCCTTTTATCATGCTGTGCAAAGCTCAAAGTACAGTCTGCAAAATGAAGGAGTTGTTCTGGTCCAAATGCACACACTTATCATCCAAGAGAGGCTTTATCTTGCAATTATATAATTATTAATTTCTCTCTCGATTCATTTGCAATTAGACTTTTTTTTTTTTCTTTTTTTTTTTTTTTTTTTTTCTGCAGGGCAGAATTTGGCCACAGTGACCTTCACTCAACCTTAAGATTGGGGTTTTTTGAGTCCTTTGAAAACCTTTTGATTCTCCCCGGGAAAGGAGCCCACTCCATGTGCCATGGGCAGGAACACCTTCCACTAGAGCAGATTGTTCAGAGCCCCATCCAGCCTGGCCTTGAACACTTCCAAGAGGAATCAGAGGCTTGGAATCACCGTGATCGCCCTGGCACCGTGTGCCCTTTGAACCAGGCCTGGTGACTGGGAGGGTTCAAAGGCTTTGCTGAGCTGGGTCTGCAGCCTGCCCAGCTCTCCTGCCCCTGCACTGGGGTCGTTTGCAGGGGCTCAGCACTGCACTCCAGGTTCTGCATGGTGACCCTGGATGGATGTCCATGCCTGGCTGGATGTGCCTGGCTGGATGTGCCTGGCTGGATGTCCATGCCTGGCTGGATGTGCCTGGCTGGATGTCCACGCCCATGGAGAGTGGGCAGGAGGGTGGCAGCAGTGCAGCAGTGCAGCAGGCACGGGCACCACCCCCCTGGTTTCAGTTCCCTGCACACAGCCTGGCTGCTCCACACCAGGAGGGGGCCCTGGGCAGTGCTGGGGGCCGGGCAGGTCCCTGCTCCGTGCCCTGCAGCCCATCCTTGCCCTGTGCACACTCCCCAAGCATCTGGCACAAGGGGCACCTTCTGTGTCCTCGCCCTGGCCGGGAGCATCCTCGGGAAAAGCGTCCTCGGGAAAAGCATCCTCGGGAAAAGCATCCTCGGGAAAAGCGGCAGCCCGGACAATGCCCGCCTGCTGAGAGGGGTGTGGGGCAGCGGGACCGGGCTGCTGCCGCCTCATCTCGCATCCCGCCGGCAATGAATGAGCCCTCGGCCCGTGCTTGGCTTCTCCAGGGATGTATTTGCACAACCATGGCAACAGCTGCCTGCCAGCAGCGCGCGGGGAGCTCTGGCCAAAGGGCTGCGCCAGTGCCTGGCAGCGCTGGAACGGGAATTTCGGGAGCCCTTCCCTGGCAGCTGCAGCAGGAGCCTGTCCCCGAGACAAAGGAGCAGCCGGCAGCTCAATCCTGCCCACGAGAGGCCTGAGCTCCGTGCCCGAGGGTTGTAACAGTGCCAACAGGGATGTCTGGCAGCTCACGGGGTGAAATGAAGGGTATCCCTCGGCATCGAGCTTTTGCCCTTGTTAAACTGGGAGGTTTTGGGTGGAAAGGTCCAGGCTTGAAGAAACTTTGTGAAAGGAACCAAACCAGCTGGAATTGCTTCCTAAGGTTGGGTTATTGCTTTTCCAATGCATTTCTTATCTGGTTTTGGTTTCAGATTGTATCACAGAGAAACCCCAAAATCAAATTGTTCCAGGGAAAGATGGTAAACCCTGAAAGGTTAGCCATGGAGGAGGAGTGAGGTTGGGTCTCATCCTCATCCATTTCCTGCAGCATTTCCCTGCAGGAGGTCGAGCCCGTGTCCCAAGAAACTCCACAGTGACCTACAGCCATGGAGGATTCCCTCCCCCTGGCCACGTGCTGTCTTTCTGCTGGCTCCAGAAGTCATTTCCTTCGCTGGAAAATCAAGTGCCAGCTTGTTCCCAACACCAAGAAGGGAAAAACCTCAAGTACAAATTGTTTTACTGGAAAACACTGTGAAAGCTCCATAAGCCCCAGCTGCATCCGTGCCGGGAATGGGGATGTGTTGTATCCCTTGTTAACACTGAGGCCACATCTCTGCTGCATCCCGTCCCATCCCATCCCATCCCATCCCATCCCATCCCATCCCGGCACCACGGAGGGAAATGGGGGTGCAGGGACAGGGAGGGAACTGCAGAGCTGGGAGTGGCCAACAACCGCCCTCCCACAGTAAAGGAGGAGCTTTACACAGATCTTATCCCAGATTCCCAGTTGGCATAACAATGGGAAGCTCTGGGATGTCACCTTCCAGCCCGGCTCCCGATGGGCTGTAAATGGCCCCAGACAGTTTGCACTCCCTGATAACCTGCCCCTGATGCTCCCATCTCTTCATTTCCCTAACAATCGGAAATTCCGGGATGTCACCTCCCAGCTTGGCGCCCGATGGGCTGTAAATGGCCCCCGAGTTTGCCCTCTCTGCTAACCTGCCTCTGGCTCTCCCATCTCTTTATTTCCCAGTGCATCCCATCCAAACCTTCCATCAGCACCCGATGCCCTCCACACAGCACCGAGTTCGCCCGGGTCTCAGTTTGCTCTTCCCTAAACCTGCTTGGGGTATCTTGGAAAAACTTCCTTTAGGGATGTGCAGGGGTGCCTGTATGAAGTGTCTGTTCCCAGGGCTGCAAAGGCGAGTCCCCAGGGCTCTTCCCCTCCTCAAGCACGGGAATGCTGATTCCCACACTTAAGGCCGAGCAGGGCAGCACCTCAGACAGGGAAAACACTGAACCCAAAGAGCAGGAGGAGCTGAAAACCCCGCTCAGGTTTGGATGCTCCGTAAGATCTGTGGATATTCCCATGCACAGGCAGGCAGCCACCCACCCGGGTGCCACCGTGCGCTGAGCAGGGGGTGGGAAGAAGCCAAAACCACTGGCACAGGTTGTGCAGAGGAGCTGTGGCTGCCCCATCCCTGGAAGTGTCCAAGGCCAGGCTGGACGGGGCTTGGAGCAACCCGGGCTGGTGGAAGGTGTCCCGGCCCACGGATGATCTTTCTTGTCGCTTCCAACCCAAACCGCTTCGGGATTCTGCGGAAGGCTCCTCAGAGGAGGAAAGGGAGACGTGTCTTACCCAGCCCCAGGAAGCTGAAGACCCACTGAGCCACGGCTGCCGTCTGGAGCCTCCTCTGCAGCGGCACCGAGCGCGGCGCGAACTCGACCTTCATCTTGGGCTCCGCATTCGCGTCTCGGGAGGAGGAGGAAGAGGAGGAGGAGGAGGAGGAGGAAGCGAGTGGCGAATGCAAAGTGCAAAGTCGCCCGTCAATGTTTGCTCAGTGTTACTGTACAGGGGGTTGTGCAATGTACAGTGGCGCTGGTGGCTGTCCCCAGCACCCTCCGCGGGCAGAGGGGGACGGGCACGGCCGGGAGGTGTCCCCAGTCACCAAAGTGACTCACCGCGCTGTTGGACGGGCACCAGTTCCTGCTTCGGCCACCCAAATGGGAAGTACACTCCGTTCAGGACCCGGTCCTGCCTTCACCTTCCCTGTCTCTCTCAAATTTTGCGATACTTGGGCGCTGGCAGAGAGGAGGAGGCACCTGTGCCTGTGAGCCAGGCTTTGCTTTCCCTCTGCCCCTACAAACCGCCCCGTGCACCCCGATCCCCCGGCGAGCTTTTGGGTTTCACACAGCAGGAGGGACAAGCACGGGCAGGTCACTTTTATTTGCGGGTGATGTGATGAGGATGGGTTTCCATCTCAGCCGAGGAGGTGGGGACACAACAGAAGGGTTTTCGTTGCTCAGCACAGGGTACGCGAGCAACCTCATGCCTCTGTCGGGACACGGATGATGGATGGATGGATGGATGGGGCAGACAAGTGTCCACGTGCATCTTTGCACCCGTTTATGTGGGTACAGAGAAAGGAGATCCTCCCTCCCTCTGGCATTTCCACCCCCAAGCAGGTGCACAGTCTGAGCCTCAGCCTCAGTGCCAAGAGCTGCAACTGGGAGAAACAAAACAAAACAAAAAAAAAAGGCAAAACACACAAAAATTTGGGAAAAAAAAAAAAAATCCTCAGGGAACTGACAAGCCACTCAGGTAAAACAAAGAAATCGTCTTGTGAGAGGCCTGGCTGTAACCAGGATACGGGATAATACCGGGAACAGGCTGCACTGAACAATGAGCCGATGAACTGCAAAGCACCGGCCGAGTACAAAAGGCATCACTCGCTTGTCTAAGGGGCATTTCAAATCCCCAGGGTCGCCGCCGCCAAGAATTACAGAACTAAACCAAAACCAACCTTTGGCAGAAGCAAATCAGGGATGTTGACCGAAAAATAATCCCTCCCCTTTGTCAGGCCCTAGGAAGACGTCGGGGGTACGAGGGATTTACATCTGTTAAACTCCATTTTCCCCAATCACCAGAACAACAGGGCTCTGGTGAAACCCCAAGGGATCTTTTCCTAAAGACACCGGTTGCTTTAATTGAGCTGGAAATGGTTTAGATTTCGCTCGAATCTCTCCCCATCCTTTGTGTTCTGCTGCTGATGTCAGGACCCTGCCTGCTTCGAGAAAGCAAAGGAGGTTTTTAACTCTTTCAGCGCTGTTGCCTGGAGACGGGATGTTTCCTGGTGAGAAACCGTCGGTGATTTCCAAAATGCTCTGCAGGGACCTGCGGGTCCGGGGCTCCCGGTCTTCCTGGGCTGGGCAGCCCCTTCACCGTCAGGGAGGGGGTGGTGGGAGGGGTTGGAGCGGTTGTTAAAGAGAATTCCTTCCTCAAAAGGGCTGTCCAGCCCTGGCACAGCTGCCCAGGGCAGTGGTGGTGCCCCTGTCACCAGAGAGATTTAACAGCCCTGTGGATGTGGTGCTTGGGGACATGGGTCAGTGGTGGCCTTGGCAGTGCTGGGGAAGGGCTGGACTCGGTGATCTTAGGGGGCTTTCCCAACCTAAACAATTCTATGACTCTGAAAAGTCCTGGCAGGGACATCTCTGGTTCAGTGATGGTGTTTCAAGGTGTTTTCCATCCAGTCTTGTCCTTGTTGGAACCCAGCCATGCCAAGGAGCTCTTTTGGTTTTTGCTGGTGAAAGGGGTCACACAGCTGTGCCTTGGGGACACCCAGACACGTGGGAAGCATTTTCTGCTCCCAGAAACGTCAGGCTAAGCCCCAGAGCAGTTGTGTTGCTTGTTCCCAGAGCAGTTGTACTGCAGAGAGTCCCAGCTCTTTGCCTGTGGGTTATTATGACAAGCACAGCCCCATGCTCTGGATTTATTATTAACAAGTCGGCTCCTTGGAAGGGCTGACCAAGGAGTGAAGCAAGGCTCAGCTGGGTAATAAATATTTATGAGCTGCTCTGCTGTGGTTATGTCATTTGCTTTTTGTCTTTCTACTTTCTTAAATTAGGAGAGAAAAATGCCTGCTAATGGAGGGCTTTGAGATCCCCTGCCTAAATTAGAGGGAGATCACAGAACTCCAGACAGACGGGAGGAGCTGGGAGAGATGCATCTCTTTTCTGAGTGCAGATAAAATTGAACCTGTGGCTTAGAATCACGGGATCATTTGGGTTGGGAAAACCCTCTAAGGTCATCAAGTCCCACTGTTCCCCCAGCACTGCCAAGGTCACCACTCACCCATGTCCCCAGGTGCCACATGCACGGGGCTGTTAAATCCCTCCAGGAATGGGGACTCCCCCTCTGCCCTGGGCAGCTGTGCCAGGGCTGGACAGCCCTTTCTGTGAAGAAATTTTTCCTAATTTGCAATCTAAACCTCCCCTGGCACAACTTGAGGCTGTTCCCCTTCATCCTGTCCCTTGTCCCCTGGGAGCAGAGCCCGACCACCCCCCCCCCGCCCCCCCCCCCCGTCAGGGGGGTTCCAAGCCCAAGAGGGCCCCCCCCCCAAGCCTCTCTTTTCCTGCTTTTGGGAAGGGCAGAGCCGTGTCTGAGGTACTGAACCAGCTGAGCAGTAGGTGACGTGCCCAAACACTGAGCCCTGATATCCTATACACCGATACCCCAGTCAGCCTCCTTTCCTGACACACCCAGCCACTCACACATGGGGGCTCCCACCACATTCCCCTTGGCTTTCCCTTCTCGGTTATTTATAGCCATTTATCCAATCTCCCACGGCTTGCATCTGGGAACATTAAGTTCCTTTAATCCCTCAATAAGTCGTCCTCTGTAATCCCTTTATCAGTGCCTCCTGCGACGCCACTGGGCAACGTCCACCTCTCCCCATAAACCCTGAGTCAGAGCTGGAGGCTTTGCAAGTCAGCACGGTGGGATGTGCCCAGGAGCCTTCCCGGGCTGTCCCTGGAGAGCTGGCCAGGCTCCAGGGGGAGGGCTGGGAAAGCCTGGCCCAGAGGATGTGCGGGAAGCAGCGCAAGGAGCAGTGCAGGGCACGGACAGGGTGCAGGGCACGGACAGGGTACAGAGCATGGACAGGGTGCAGGGTATGGACAGGGTGCAGGGCATGGACAGGGTGCAGGGCACAGACAGGGTGCCAGGGTATGGACAGGGTGCAGAGCATGGACAGGGTGCAGGACATGGACAGGGTGCAGGGCACAGACAGGGTGCAGGGCATGGACAGGGTGCAGGGTATGGACAGGGTACAGAGCATGGACAGGGTGTAGGACACAGACAGGGTGCAGGGCACAGACAGGGTGCAGGGTATGGACAGGGTGCAGGGTATGGACAGGGTGCAGGACATGGACAGGGTGCAGGGCACAGACAGAGTGCAGGGCATGGACAGGGTGCAGGGTATGGACAGAGTGCAGGGCATGGACAGGGTACAGAGCATGGACAGGGTGTAGGACACAGACAGGGTGCAGGGCACAGACAGGGTGCAGGGCATGGACAGGGTGCAGGGCATGGACAGGGTGCAGGGCACAGACAGGGTGCAGGGCACGGACAGGGTGCAGGGCATGGACAGGGTGCAGGGTATGGACAGGGTGCAGGGCATGGACAGGGTACAGGGCATGGACAGGGTGTAGGACACAGACAGGGTGCAGGGCACAGACAGGGTGCAGGGCATGGACAGGGTGCAGGGCATGGACAGGGTGCAGGGTATGGACAGGGTGCAGGGCATGGACAGGGTACAGGGCATGGACAGGGTGTAGGACACAGACAGGGTGCAGGGCACAGACAGGGTGCAGGGCATGGACAGGGTGCAGGGCATGGACAGGGTGCAGGGCACGGACAGGGTGCAGGGCACAGACAGAGTGCCAGGACACTGCACAGCTCCAGGAGCTGTCCATGGCTTCCTGGCCAGTTCCCTACCACGTGTGGACCCTGTGGGACTTGGTGCCCCAGCAGCAGAGCTACAACCGCCCTTCAGATCAGTGCTCCTCTCTTCCAGTCACACATAACCCCCTTTCATTTACCCTAAAGCCTCTCAGTTATCCACATGCACTCCTAGAGCTTCCCACCAACCTAATTTACCCTCCAGCAGGCAAAATTATCAGAAGTTGACTGAAGGTATCTTCTTAGTGGTTGTCCCATGGTTTCTCTGAGTCCCATTCCTTCCTGACCCATCACTCCTCCAGCAGTGTCTCCCCTGCAAGGTCCTCCTTCTCCCCATCACCCCAAACCCACGTGATGCCTTTGCACCAAGCCTGGTCTTTGTCCCTCCCCAGCTCTGAGTGAGGGTGTGGGTGTGACAAAGCCCACTTCTGCCTGCTGGGTTTTTTGGGTTTGATTTTTGGGGTTTTGTTGTTTTTTTTTTTCTTTTTATATAAATTCTTTCAAAACACAGTATTCCAGATTTTACTACCTGTTACAAAACCACTTCTTCTGAAATCTGGCTGTGTTCTGCCAGTGGTTTTCATCAAAGAAATTTCATGTCCTTTAGAGCACTTGAATTATTGGTCAAATTCTTCTTTTCATGCATTTCAATTATTCTCTTTATGCAGCACTCTGATACGGATTTGCTTTGGCTCCTGTCCCATTTGGCCCTGAAACACTCCCCCAACATACATGAATCATAAGCAGAGCTGACAAGGAAAACGAGAACACCCTGGGTAGAACCCCATTCCCAGAAGTTGTGTGTGATTATAAAATGATTTAAGATGTGAAGAGGCCACCGGAAATCCTCTCTAAATTGTCCCCCGCAGTGTTGTCATGTTCTCCTGTCCCCAGAGGTCGGTGCTGGGCACAGGAGCAGCTCAGAGCAGTGTCCCCAGCGCAGGGACAGGTCCTGCAGAGCAGGGGGGGTGTGGGACAGCCCTGATGGGGCAGGGGCAGGGACAGGTCCTGCAGAGCAGGGGGGTGTGGGACAGCTCTGATGGGGCAGGGACAGGTCCTGCAGAGCAGGGGGGATGTGGGACAGCCCTGATGGGGCAGGGACAGGTCCTGCAGAGCAGGGGGGTGTGGGACAGCCCTGATGGGGCAGGGACAGGTCCTGCAGAGCAGGGGGG